CCAAAAAAAAAGACCCCCCCCCCCAGCCCCTACAATATATTGGAAAAACAAATAACCACTGTACTTCTGCATATATTTAGTATGGTGGGTTTGACAGACTTTTCAGCCATTTTTATCTAGAATTTTTTGACAGAAGAAATACATTTCATCAAAAACTTATCAATGGAAATGAAAATGAAGTCATTTTTTTTCTTCCCCAAAACATTTGTGCCTTAGAATTAGAATTTTCTGTCTTGGATCTTGTAGTGTAGTCCAAAAAAGTAGTTTACATCTACAGTTAATTTTATTACAGGGTGAGGAAATTTCACAATTAAATATATATGACTGAATTAGTTCAAAGGAAAATTCTGTCTACAGATTAGTTATGGAGTTATGTTTCTTCAGCATTAATTAACTAGGTAACTAATTAAACATTATATAGTGGTTTTTAAAGATTAGTAAGACATGGTTCCTGCTTTGTGGAGCTCAGAGTCTAGCATAGACAATAAATGTATGAGCAAATAATGGAACATGATTAAATGCTGTTAAAGCAGCATTGATCAGAACTGGATCAAATGCTATGGGAGCCCAAAGGAGAACATGCCATCATCTGTACTAGTCTGGTTTTTAGCTTAGGAATATAGCTCTTCCAATTACAGTAGTTTGGTAAATTATGACAGAAGTCTGAATGAAGGCACTGGTAATCAGGAGGCAAACATGGGGATCTACTCATGGGACATTTCAAGTGTGGAACTGATAGGATTGTTTAAGTTGAGGGTGCTGGGTTGCAAGGGGAAGGAAGTATTTAGGATGACTCAGATTTCTTGGTGGGGGAATAGATGGATGCCCGTGCCATTAACTGCCGTAGGGAATGAAGGTGAAAGGCAGGTTGTGGTGGTGGATAAAATAACGAGTTTGCTTTTGCACATGCTGAATTTGAGATTCCTGTACGGATACTGAGGTAGAGGTGATTCTAGAGCTTAGGAGAAGGGTATGGACTAGAGATCAAGGTTTGAATGAATTTACCCAGAAGAGGATATAAAGTAAAAAGAAGAGACAAAGACAGAATCCTACTGAAAAAATAAATCAAACCAAACAAAAAACCCCTTAGTATCTTATAAGGAGTAGAAGAGGAGAGAAGTTAGCAAAGGAGACCAAAGGGGAGGAAATTGGAAAACCAAGAGTAGTGTCATGGATACAAGAGAAAAGGGCCAACAGGTTACAGAGAAGTCATGAGAAGGAAGATTTGATAATAGTGTCCTGACTAAGGTGAGTGGGCTGGGAGACAGATTGCAGAGAGGCAATGGGTGAATGGGAGTGGAGAATCTAGAGGCAGGGAATATGGCCTTCTCTTCTAATAAACTGTGTATTAAAAAAGAGAAACAGAGGGAGGTGGTATAAAATTACTGCTAAATTGTGCAGGAGACAGTAGGCTGACAGTGAAGGAAGCTCATGTCTCATAGAGCTGTTAATCCTCATCATTCAGCAGTATTGGGCGTTTGAAAGGCTGTGATTCATGCTTGCTGAGTGAATGTTTAGAATATTCTCTCTGTCCTGTTCCTCTATCAGTGGACATTTTTATTTTCTCTCCTCGGTTTTATCATCTTGATCCTCTCTTTTCTGACTTGTGGACTTTGCTCAGCCCCTACATCTGTTCTGGTAAAATAGATCCTGTGTTGCCTTCAAGCTAGATTGTCTCATTCCTTTGTAATGTAATTTATGGGTTCATTAGAGAGGAAAAGCTTTCTGCAAGGCATGCAGTCTGATAGCTTTGTAAAAGACTCAATTTTGTTTGAATGATAATTTGTAGTAAAGATAACTATCTTTTCAAAACATTTAATGTTTATAGATATTTATAATATTTAAAAATGGTACAATAACTGGAGGAGATATGCGAATATTACTTCTGCATTTCCTGAAAGATAGGGGGCTGAAAACTTCAGAAAACCCTCTGATGAAGAGAAGCGGTTAGTTATAACGATGCCTCCTAGAGAAAATCAAAAGCTTGTCTAGAATGTTGTTTAGAAAGCTAATTGTTCTTCTTTGGAGCATTAAACATAATACTTTAGGGAAAATTGTACTAATTAATATGTATTACACAGTTGTGTTAGTTGTCTGCAGCAATAATATTACATTGGGTACAGCTAAATGCTTCACATGAACAATTCTATTTTAGGGTATTAAGTGTGAATCAGATAATTATTTGTGAGAGCACATGATATGTCCTTATTGTTATCTCTGCTTTCTTTCCTCCACCCCCACTGTATTTTTCTCCTCTAGGTGATATCCCAATTGTTCCACTTAATTTTGTCATGATATCCCTGGAGGGTCCATTTAACAGGGATGTAGTGGAAGGATGTGTGAAGGAGACGTTGCTTTTTTTATCCCGATCCATTTCCATCAAACAAAATGTGGAGTTTACATTCAAAGGAATTGGGGTCCTCGTGATCAGAGACAGCAAAGTGAAAATGAGATTTTATAAGGACTTCCTTTGTGCTGTGGATGGAAGTGGGGCTTTGGAAAAAGCCCTAGCAAAAGTAAATCAATGTTTTCCTTCTCCTAACCTCTCTCCCAATCGTAGCCTGAATCATCTGTATGTGTGTTGTCATTAAGAAAAACTCAGGTTGACATATGTTGAAGTGACGGTTACCCCAAGTGCACGGAAGTGCTTGTTTATAGGTGATTAACTCTTTGACAAAAAGGATTAGAAAGGCAAAGGAACTTTAAATTTTGAGTCAATGCCAACTAAGAAATATAAATGATAGGGCCGGCCCGGTGGCGCACTGCTACAGAGCGCCGCTTGGGAGCGCGGTGGCGCTCCCGCC